CGACCCCGTGTCTGTCCGAATGCCTGTCCATACGGCTGTCTGTAGGGGCGTTTGTCGACCACAATATTGCGCTTACCCTTCGGTATAATATAAGTGATCGGCTGAACAATGGTAAGCAGTTTCGTGGAGTCGAAGGGATTCCTAATCTGTCGCACGACTACATCGCCCGATATCTGCGGCTTCTCCTCCTCCTTCTCGGCGGCCGCCTTAGACTCCGGTATTATGGTCTCAGGAACACCTAATTCAGGAATACCTGGCTTTACGCCGTTACAATATTTGGGAGGCTTTCGTTTAACGAGATACGCGCGGACACCACTGGCCGTCAGTCTCCTGAACCCCGGGTCCGCGGGATGGCATATCTCGTAGCAGTTCTTTATGGATATGAATCGATTGGCGTTCCCGCCCACACCCGACCACGAAAACGGCAGACACTGTTGTAGCACAGGGTTGTAATAAATGCGGACAATGTCTTGAGTGCCGGTGCCCGTGTCGGGCACTAATTCACACATTTGTTTAATCGACAATTGTATAGCACCTGGCTCATCGCACCCACCCCCATACTGACAGCTCACTTCACTTACAATAAGCACTGATTTATGAAAAAATTTGATACAAATGTTAAGTTTTCGACAATTAAGCCGTGATTTATACTTACAATTAAACAAAACAGTGAATATAAAGGCAAACAATTTCTCCATTATTTAAATCCTATTAAAACCCAAATCTTAATTAAATTTAGGTTTCGATTATAAATAATTGTCGCAAAACAGATGGCATTTCAATGTAAAGTCAATGAGTGAAAAGTCTTCGTATTTTAAATAACAAAACTTTTAATTTCATTATAATTAAGCATTTTTTACAGAAATATATAATTTGCTAACAAATAACAATTGAGATTTAATTTGAAATCAATTCAAAATTTTAGATCAATTTAAGTGAGAATTCAAACAAAAAAATTGATGTTTAAAACTTAAATCTCAAAAAGCGAGAAAAAATGATTTTCACACAAATAACCGGTAAATCATAATAACTTATCCAAAAAAGTTACGTAAAAATTCGCGTTTAAATACTATATTAACTTAAATAACAGTTCCGTATATTTATCTACAAATAGTTCACTAATTGTTTAACAAACTGTTAAATTAGACTACAATTCACTATAAATAGCGACTTATTATTGGTGTTTAAGACTTCGGTTGTGATTAAAAATGCGAAACAATTGGTAGAGATTAGTGGCGGCGACGAAGAGGTTGACCGAAAAGAGACTCCAATTCTTGGGCGTTATAACCAATGAATATCGCGACCAAATCACACCCGTGGCCGCCAACGCACCTGTAGTTCACGACAAACACCACTCATATACTGACCACACATTTGTGTCCATCAAAGACATACCCGTTTGAGGCGCCGACAGTTTGTCTGCGGGCCGTTGAATGTCGGATATGCTGGCGATTACCAGACCCTAAGACACGCGCAACAGATAATCAACAGTCAGTCAAACAGTGGTCAACACGAGTCATATCAACAAAACATATGGCAATGGCTTAAGACTAGAGACCCATTTCATGGCCGGCGCCCAGAAAAAGACGGTTTTAGGTCCGGCCTCGTGTTCCCAGAGG